ACTAGGAAGTTGGACTAAATCAATGATTTCCTATTTGTGAATTATGGACCCCTGGGAATCCAAGGAATTTTTGCGTGAGGACTATGAATCCATGTGCATTTTATTCACAATGTGTAGATTAAGTGAATAAAGATATCTCAAAATATATAAAATATACATATATAACACATATATATATCAAAATAGATAGGACGTGTTGTATACTTGGCCTTGCACCTGGTCCTCTGGGAGAGATCAATATTTTTTAGGTACATATACACCATGAGCAGACACGTATTTTGCTCTTTCATTATTTCATATCCAATTTGACATGGACCTTGACTGGTTTTAGAGAAATTAGAGATTGGAAGAAGCCAGCAGATTGATTATTCTTTCTGCTCCCTAATTCTGGAGAAAGGAACAAAGGCCAATGCATTGTATAGGCTGAGCTCCCATCTCCCCTCTGCTAGCCATGTCCCCAAACACAAAAATTCTGGTCAAAAGCCTCTCACTCTGGATCCAGCTTCAGGACACTTCACAGCCAACAGGCCCTTTGCTTCATGCCTCATTTGAGTTTCATTTCCCCACTGCTACAAAGTGAAATATAGATTAAGCCTTCTAAGAACCAATAATAGGTCAAAAATTGGGTATAGTGATGCTAGTTATGTGTTGAACATGTATCCCCAGACTAAAAGCTTGCAGTAAGAAGTGAAGCTAAGACACATTCTACTGATTTCAGTGAGCACATATTCTTGATGTAGATAGGCTGGGTGCAAGAAATTAGTAGCACACTCCACCCTGATAATGGACATAAAACTTGAAGGACTTCCTTTTTAATGAGATAAAAGATGTGCGCACTTCAACTGGTGCATCAAGCAGTTCTGCCAGGATGGAGTAGAGCTGTTATTTAATCTTAGTGTTTTTGTGTTCCTTCTGAATTCTTGTTTTGTTCCTTTGGGTCCCAAAGTTACATACTATGAGAATTAGGGTACAGTTTATTCTTTTTGATGTTGATGTTAATGGTGGTTATCATTTTTTATTTTGGGGGGGAAGTTAGACAGGTGGGTGGTTTGGTTTGTTTTTTTAAGCTTTAATGAACTGCTTTTGTTGAGCACGCTAAATGTTTGTTGTTACTGCTACCAAAACACTTCCTTCATTTCAAAGCTGGACCTTTAAGGGAAAGCTTTAGAAATGAAAGTGGCCTCTTCAACTATGAAGCTCATACTCTCCAAACTAGGAATAGTACATCTCAATGAGCCCCACTCCATCCCTCATCTAAGTAGAAGCTACTTAGACAATGTGGAGACTTTGGAGGAAGTCTTTAAATAGACTATGTGAGTCACAGTAAAATGACTGCCTTCGAAAGACAATTCCATTGGATTATTATTGTCCTAAGGAAAAAAAAAATCAAAATATTCCCTGGACAAACTCTAAACAAAGCAGGAAAGTAGGATCTGTCCCCATCTCTTCCAGGATCTAGGGATTCAAACATCACCCTGTGACCACACCTCAAAAATTACGTCTTTCCCAATTCCTCCTCTTTCTCTTCCCCAACTTCATCAAACAACTTTCTGTGTTCTTTCCTGATTATGGTTTCTTCTTTATGATTATGGAGAAGATTGAGACTGCTTAGGCAAATTATACTAGCATAAGGTACTGGTTATCAAATAAAGCATCCTATGTAGGTAGTCAATTGCCTTAACCCAGCTGAAATTCGTATTTCTCCTATAAGTCTTTAATAAGTAATAAAGATGGAAGAAGATATATTTATTGACCATATCTCTACATGCTGGGTGCTATGTAATGCATTTTATGTGTTTATTATCTTATTAAGTCTCTAATAAAGCCATGATCTGGATATTATTATTGTCCCCATTTTATAGGTAAAACTCAATCACATAAAGATTAGGAATACTTGAATTCAGATCTCTAAATACAAAATACTTGCACTTTTCAAAATAACTTGATGCTTCCTTTAAGATGTGAACAAAAAATATAGCAGGCCCTGGGACAAGTCACTAATCTTTCTTTACTGAAACTTTCTATTTATGACCCCATCGAGCCCCATATTCTGTAATTCCATGGAAAGCTGAAAGTTTCGGTTAGATCTCCACATGGAGTGACTCTGTGTTTAATGCAATAGTCTATGAGGAAGAGCACTGCATGACAGGATACTACTTCAATCAATTCAGCTGTGATATGGGTTTAAACACATGTCCTTGCCTACTTCAGAGTTTTGGCAAAGATAAAATATAATACTGCTTATAAAAAATTTTGTAAATGGCAAACCACTATAGATATTTATGGAGTTATCTTCTCCAGTATCATCATTAATATCAGATACTAGAAGAAGGTAAGCAACCCTGACCTAGAGCTGAAAAACCGAAGCATTAGTCAAAGGGGTCTTAGAGAGGGGTCTTGATGAATATTTAAAAGAGGAAGCATGATCATGCTGGTGGATTATGACATTAAAAATGGACAAAAACTGGGAAATAAAATAAAATAAATGGTCTATATCTTTATGAGTGATGGTTTAACATCTGCCTTCTTGTGTTCTGAGCCAGATCAGAACATTGGAGGAAAAAGAGTCTCTGAAAATGTCTCCAATTTAGTGGGTCAGTTAGTGGATCATCAGCAAATCAGATGAAAATTTGTGGATTTGTGGATTAATTCATCAGCAGGAAATGAATAAAAGGATTAGTAGCTCAGGCGAACCCAAGAACTTCAGCAATTGCTGGCCACATTCCTGAACATGCACGAACGGTATATAAAAATGGTTGAGAGTTTGACTCTGGGGTTAGAGTTTATGTGTTTGAACCCCAAATTAGTCATTTACTACCTGGTACCCTAAGACAAGTTACTTAACCTCACTAACATCCAGTTTTCCTATCTATAAAATGCAGATTGTCATTGTACCTACTTCGTAAGATTGTTGTGAGAAATGAATGAAATATCAAATCTATTTAGCATAGTACCTAGCATATATTAGGTATTCAGTAATTGATTGCTGTTGCTTCATTCTGCTCTTCCCTGCATCTCACTTTTCTAAGTTGCAAACTAAATAGTTGTAGATTGATTAACAGGTCAAGAAAGCCCCATGACTGTGTCTAGACCTATGCCTCTCTCCCACCAGATTCCAGGAATATATATGGAGGTGGGATGGGGAGTGGAGTAAAGGGGTAAACATAAAATTGCCCAGTTTGGCACAACCCTGAATATTATCTCCAGAGAATGAGGCAAACCCAGGCACAGCTGATGAGTTAACCAGATAATGATGTAGAAAACATTTCCTTCTGCTTTTGGTTTCACGTCTATTTTTGAAGCCATAGAGCTCTCGAATGCAGTCAGTACCTAGAGGCAACGAGGGAGATGCCTATTCCCATGAGAGGCCCTGCCCTGCTGTGGATAGTTTTGCTGCTCTTCAGTAAGTAGAGGTTCAGTTACCCCTCCTGGAGGCTCCAAAATGAATCTGGGGAGTACCTGGGGTGGGAATGTTGACAGTTTTGGTGGTGACTTTTTCTAGGACATGTGCAAACCATGTGGTATTTCCCAGGCACTCTGTAGTGGAGACAAGCTGGAAAACAGAGGAAACTGGGCTGAGCAACACCTATGGGGAAGCTGACTAAAAGCCTAGTTCCTTGTAGTCACTCTGGAATCTTCCAGAGTGCAAGATTCCTCCCAGGTGGGGAGAGGATAGAGGAAGGGGAGAAGCTCCCTCTCCCCCTGGGTCAGATTTTTGGGAAGATGGTTGGTCCTTAAAATTCCGTGGATGTAGATCTCATTCCCATACCCAGATTCCAGTTCCCTGAAATTCTGGAAGATTGGGCATAGACACTAACTTACTCTCTCTGGACTTTTGCAGCTCTGGATGGCATGTCAATAGGTGAGTCCTCTGTGTTTGTTCCCTCAGTGCTTCAGTGTGTCTGGGCATTGCTTCCTTCATCCCAACTCTCCTGTTCTCTAATGAATATGAATCTACTCCTCCCTGGCCAACCTACTTCGTAGCCCCACCTTGCCTTGTCTTCCCTTTTTTCTCCAATTCAAAAGTTTCTCACATATATCATTTTTTCAAGTTAACCCTTCCTCTGTGTAAGTCCACATTCATGTCTGTTGCACATATACATGTCTCAGCCTCTCTTCTAGGCACGTTCACCTAATCTCATTAAATTCTTGCATTATTATTATGATTACTATTTTACAATTGAAGATGCTGAAACTCAGATTAGTGGTTTGCTGGACGTTACGCAGCTAACAAGAGACTGGATTCCAACATAAGTCCCTTGGATTCAAGTCCAGTTCTCTTTTGACTGTATCAAAAGTCACTCTTGTCATCACCATCTAGACACTTCTGTGGTCTCTGTTCAAATTTGTACCATATCATTTTGTTTCTGGAAGCCATTCAAGACTAACTCTCTTGGTGGTTCTGACTACCTTCCAGAATTGACATATATTTTGCACTCCATGTACACTCAAAATTAAATAGTCATAAATATTTAGAGCTTGGAAAGACCTCATATTTCATCTAGTTCGATATCTTTATCCATCTATAATTCACTCATTCATTTACTCAACAAATAGTTAATGAACACTTACTATATACCAGCCATTGTTATGAGCAATGGTTGAGCATGACAGACATTGTCGCTGCCTGAAAAGAGATTGCAGTCCTCATTTACAGATACTGAAATTGAAGTCGAGAGAATTAGAGTGAGTTGTCCCAGATCATATAGTAAATTGGTTGGTTTGTTTGTGTTTAAATCTCCTGCATTTGTGTCTTGTCTTCCTCCCTAGGTTGGGAGCTTCCTGGGGTCACAACGCTGTTTTGTCCATCCTTTAATCCTTCCCCTAGGAATCAGGACAGGGTCTTATTACCAGTAATACAAGAATAGACTGACCATTGATCGTATAAATATTGGTATGTTTGTACTTTTGAACCTGGACAGTTTTCAATGATTTTTTTCCCTCCACATCTCTTTCCATAATTTTGTCTTCTAGAAATCATCCAGAAATCTTCATTGTCCATGAAACCCCAGTGGAGTAGAATATTTATAGGAGAAAATGTGACTCTTTTATGTAGGAACAGTCCCTCTAACATCAGCTTCAAGTGGACCCACAATGGCACAGTTTCACCAGTGACAACTTCAAGTTGGAACATCGTGAATGCCAGCTTTGAGGACAGTGGGGAATATACATGTCAGCACAAAAATTTTAGGGAGAGTAAAACTGTGTACCTGGAAGTCTTCAGTGGTAAGTTCCAGAGATGTGGAAATACAGATCTCCCATGTGAGAAATGGCTCATCTGAAGGTGTGAAGAAAGCAGATTATTCCAAGGCTTAGGGCACCAGGATGGGACTCAGGGCCTCTCATTCAAGACCTCTCCACCTCTCTTCTTGTACCCCACTCCTTCTACCTACACGTATGCCTTCTTTCAATATTCTTGTCATCTCTCAATATTATTCCTCTATTCTATTTTTCTCTATCTTTTCTTTCTGTATACAGATGTATATTATGTGGTCAAATGGCATGATAGATATTTGAACACTTCAAAGTGCATCTGGAATAGGATCAAAACGTTTGATTTAAAGATTTGCTATGCATAATTCATGTGCTATGACCTGAATATTAGGTTTTACTCTTCATTTTGAAAGATATCTGTGTACATTCCTTGTGTCCTCTATTGTTACTTAAGAACAGATCTTATGTTTGTTTCACCTTTATCCCTCTCCTACAGCCAAAAATTAGCACAGCATGCTTAGGCATATTGTGGGTTAATCAGTAAATGCTGAATAAACAAGCTAATGATTTCCAATAGTGACCAATAGGTCACTGTTATACTTTATATTTTTTTCTTGAATGAAAAGAGATGTTTCAACATCCATATGCAAATTCCAAATACAAACTAAAGCAATATAGAATAGCTTCTTTATCCTCAATGATTGGTCCTAAATAAAAGATGCTTGCTATATAAGTTAGCCATATTTCCATTCGAAATTCTTGTTTTGTGACTGCTTGTCAATTTTTACAGTGGCATTAACCATAGAACCTGATTCTTGTCTTTCATGGATTCATTACTGACAAATATTTGCTGAGTACCTACCAACTCCTGGGTATTGTGTGAGGCACTAGGAATATAACGTAGAACCAGATGGGGCCCTGACCTCCTGGAGCATAGAGCCAAATGGGAAGAGGACATTAAATGAAGAATTACACAGCTAATTAAAATAATTAATTTAATTAACTTTAATTGTGAGACATGTCTTGAGGAAGTTTTTGAGCCAACTATGATTGACAGTAGAACTGGGAAGTTTCCGTGAAGAGAGGACAAAATAGACACTCTTCTAAGTAGAGTGTGTTTATTTTCTCATTAGTGACTAGAACTAGCAAGAATAGGTCTGAAAGGACTTCTAGGTTTCAGGTCTTCCATGTATGGGCTCAGCAGAAAGGTCCAAGAGACTTTATGGCTCCAGACTGATTTTTCAAGAGAAGAAGTATTTATCAATATAGAAGACAGGCTCTAAGCATTATTTTATATTTCCTCTTTATTAACCATATGAGCCAAGAAGTGGGTTAATGATAATTTATGGTTTCTGGCACACACTCTATGCATTACCCCTTTTATTTTAATTTTATCTATCCACCTCCCCCCCCTCCATTGATTATTAAATAACATGATGAATGCTTTTCAGACTGGCTGCTCCTTCAGGCCTCTGCAGAGGCTATAGAGGGTAAGCCCCTCCTCCTCAGGTGTCACGGTTGGAAGGATAGGAATGTCTACAAGGTGACCTACTACAAGAATGGCCAAGCTCTCAAGTACTGGTATGAGAACCACAACATCTCCATTCCAAGTGTCACCACTCAAGACAGTGGCACCTATCACTGCAGCGGCATCCTTTGGAAACTTCCTTATACCTCTGAGCCCCTCAATATTACGGTTATAAAAGGTGAGTTGGTAAAGGAAAGAGAAAAAGTCCATATCAGGGGAAGGAAAAGAGGACATCTCAGCCTTGAGTGGCTGCAGCCTGTAGAATAGGGACATGTGATACGCTGGAAAGGCTACTAGATTTGCCAGAGAGAAGACCTGGGTTATAGTACCTATTTCAATCTCTGTCTTAGGGTCCTTATTTATTTATTTAGTGGTGATAGTAATACCTGTTCACACTATAAAATTTGTATGAAGATTAATGTGGTAATATTTGTGAAATGGCTTTTTGAACTGTTAAGCACTACTCAAACATAACAGATTGCGATTACTATTTTGATCCCAAAGTCTTCTCTTGCTTCTGGGGAGAACACTTATATTTATCAAATTAAAAGAAAGTTTCAGAGTTGAAGGAACCAAGTATGTGAACAGCTTGAATAGCCCATTCCAGCTTAGGAGGGCTGGGAAAGGAAACCAAGTCAGTAAGCTGAGTGCCAGTGTGTTAGGGGATGAGGAAATGGGCTTGATCAGGAGAGGACAGGCCTCTATGGCCTATTAAAAACCCTGTTCTTTCCAAACTCCATGTAAGAGAGGGAGACTTTGTAATAGTTGCTTTGCAAGGAGAAAATCAGACATTTTTCTTGGCTCACTTAGTTCATACTAAAGTATAAAAAAGCATGAGGCCAAAATTTAGAATTAAGCTCTAAATGACAGTTTTCTGTTAATTAATTTGAGACCAAAATGCTACTTAATTTTCTTTAGACTTCTAGTATCTTCATCTATAAAAGAGAGAGTTTGGTCTAGACTCCATTAGAATCACTTGAGGAACTTAACAAACTATTGATGTCCATGTCTCATCTCTTGAGATTCTGATATAACTGGTTTGGAGCGTGGCCTGGTCATCAGTGTTCTTTAAAAGCTCTTTCAGGTAATAGTAATGTATAGCCGGTGTGAGAACCACTGGTCTAGGTGATCCTAAGTGATTTAGAGTTGTAATATTCTGGTGCTTTATAATTCTAGAATACTCACAAAAACCAGTACAGTATAAATAGAATAACAGAATCACAAAATAATAGAACTGAAAGGCAACTTAGCTAGTCTAATACCTTCCTATCACCTAGGCATGCAAGAAATGATGATTGATTGAGAAAGAAGGCACTGGTGACCCCCTGGCCTCACTCTGTCTCCTTTCCACCCCCAAATCATGTGTAGATGCTGGTCTTGTCAGCTTCAAGAAGGGGATCATCTTCCCTATGATCTTTCCCCTTGAGCACACTGGCTTAAGTAACTGCTAGAAAGAGGTTACGGGGGAATGCTCAGGACACCCCAGGGCTCCAGGGAGTACCGACTGAGGAACTCAATCTGCGTGCTGCTGGTTGCCACATCATGCTACAAATGGAGGACACTGGTCCTTCCCTTAGGGAGGATGAAGCTCTGAAACGCATTCTTCAATTACTAATATGAATTATGTTTCTTGTTGTATTTGTGTTCCACTGTAGCTCCGCAAAGCAAGTACTATCAGCTACAGTATTTTATCCCATTGTTGGTGGTGATTCTGTTTGCCGCGGACACATGGTTATTTATCTCCACCCAGCGGCAGTTCACATTTCTCTTGAAGATTAAAAAGATTAAAGAAGAAAAGACAAAAAACTTCTGAACCCACATCCTAAGCCCAGACCCCAAAAAGGACTGATGTCATTACTCAAGAAACTTTTGCAACATCAATTTTTTTTCCAGCATCAGCAATTATTTCTCAATTGTCAAACACAGCTTACAATGTACGTAGAAAATCTTGTGCTCAAGGATTTGTAGAACTGCTTCATTAAACCAACTGAAACTGGTTAAGTGGCATGTAATAGTAAGTGCTCAATAAACATCAGTTGAATAAATGAAAGATTGAATAGATTCATTTAGTAGCTTTTGTAAAAGAGAAGTTCAATTTGAATAAAATAAGTATGAAACCATATAACAGGATGTGTCTGCAAATTCAAGGTTAGCTAGTTTGTTTGTTTTCTTCTAGATGCATGAACATGAAGTTCTAGATTAGAAATGCCTTCTCTTGATTACTGTAAGTATTGTAGGAATGAGAAGACATGGTGGGGTGCCAGTGAGGTTGATAATTTTTATGCTCTCTCTTCACCTTACTACGAGCTTTTGGTTCTTAGCAGAATCAGAGGCAGTCTTGAACCACAGGACTCTAAAAATAAAGTCTATTCTAGAATTCCCCTGTAATTGTTTTTCCCCTCTAACATCTCCCAAACTTACATCTTGAACTTATATCTTGTATCTCTATATAGCATTGAACTAAGCATTTTAGAGAAATTCCAAAAAATTATAATAATCAGATCCTTCATCTGAGAAGAGTCCAGGACGGAATAAGATCTCAGGTAAAAGAGCTAGACAATTTTAGTTTGTGTATTTTCCCTTTCATTTTATGTTTTCAAGATATTTAGGCTTCTATCATGGAGTAATTGGGATTAAGTTTCTCCTATTACAAAGCCATACATTAGAAAGAGACTCAACCATACAGAAGAATACATAGGTTCAAATCCTGACTCTCCCACTTTCAAAGTTTGTGATTTGGAAGACTCTTCCTAAACATCCATTGGCTTTAGTATTTCATTTGTAAAATAAGAATGATAGTACTCATCCTGTCTACCTCCTAAAGTTCTTCTAAGAAAAAGTAAGAGGCTGTATCTAAAAGTTCTTCATAAATTGCAACGATTTATAAAAATTTATAAACTTTTAGCACCAATACGAGACCCAGTCTTTGCTACTACTGCCCACCATGCCCCTGCCAATGAAGATAGTTATACTGGGGGCTTAGATAAAGCACTAGGGAAGAGAGGGAACATATTACCAGTGCTGACCATGAGCTCATGGCAGCCAATGAGAGATCAGAGTGCCCATGCTTTAGAATTAATAACCTAAGGAATTATATCTGGGAAGAAAATTTGCAGATATCCATGAGTCCTATTTTTTCCAAGGAATTTTTCTGGGCCACAAAGCAGAAAGAAATTACTGAAAGTTTCTTTTTATTTTATTGTTTTCTTTTCTTTTTGCTTTTTAAAAATTGAAACAGGTATCTGATATGACCCTTCTTCACACTCTCCTAAATCTTAAAAAAAATATTTCAAGGAGATAAGAAATGGCCTGATTCAGAGTGAACAGCCTTGTCACTTACCTTCACGTAGTAAATAAGTCTGATGAATGAAGAGATTTCTTCAGCAACAGCAGTCCAGGAAAAGTTCCCATAGGAGGCTCCCTGCTGTTGTTCCAGGACTCTTCCTCTGCTATTTTCCCGCCGCCTTATTTTGGGTTATAGCCTTGGGACCAGTCTTGCAACCGCATTCATTAATCACACCTTACTCCACAGTGTTCTATACGGTGTGTCAGCATCACAGGCATTGGACTAGAGAGCAAGTTTTTCCCTTATTTCAGACAAGGGTCTGAGGCCAAATGACCAGAATGAAGAACAGGTACTTGGCATGGGTAGAAATTCCAGGCTTTATCAGCTCGCGACGCATTTTCTGAGAGATTTTCTAGTTTCTTGCGTACCACAATTCACTTTTACCTCTCCATTTATCCTCACTCCAAGCTTCAGGAAGCTATGGATAGAACACAAATCTGGGAGTTCAAGCTGCTAACTAGCTGTGTGATTGAGCCAAGTTACTTGCCAGTCTCTGAGATTCAATTTCTTAGGTCCTTTGAAGTCCAGGCATTTTGTCATTTGTTACCTTGTCATTCTGTTCCTATGTGGTGATTACCCAGGCACAAAGGATCAGAATGCATTCCCCAAGAAGCTCCAGTGTGACTGTTTCCTTCATCCTCCATGCCTTGGTCTCTCCCTTCACTGTGCTCTTCCATCTTTCATGCATCTAAATTCCATTTGTTTTTTTTAGACAGAGTCTCACTCTGTCACCCTGGCTAGAGTGCAGTGGCCTCAGCACAGCTCACTGTAACATCAAACTCCTGGGCTCAAGCGATCCTCCTGCCTCAGCCTCCTGAGTAGCTGGGACTACAGTTGAGCAACACCATGCCCAGATAGTTTTTCCCCCCTATTTTTTGTAGAAATGGAGCCTGCAGCTCTTGCTCAGGCTGATCTCGAACTCCTGGACTCAAGCAATCCTCCCACCTCAGCCTCCCAGAGTGTTAGGATTACAGGCGTGAGCCACCACATCTGGCCCACATTTTCTTTTTGATAGTCATACATCTTCTGCTCCCAAAGGAATGGGGAGCATGAAGTTAGAGCCTGAGTATTTTGTGGATCACAAAAATATGGTATTTACAAAGATGTCTTTATATATCAATATATATGAAATGTTTTCTACTATGCCGGAGAGGGAATACATATAAAGATGACTGGAATAAAAATAATTCACCCTAGATTCACCCATGGGGATGCCTCCATCACCTCTAATCTCTTACCAAATTGGTCTAGGCCAGACTAGAGTGCAAATTTTGCTTTAGGCAGACACGAATTGTCATGAATTTGCAATAGTTAGGGGTCGGTTTTCTGAAAATCAAGTTAGTAGCTCCCCATTGACTTGACAAAGTCCCATGGCCGCCTCTAAAGTGAAGACTCAGATAAATGATCCACCTTGTCAGTATGCTGGGGAATTGAGAACTTGAAGAAAGGCTCTACTCTTTCCCTCTTCTCATTAAATGGGACATGGTGACAATAGGAGTAGTTCCTTGAACATAGAGTTGGAAGCTTTATGTTGAGGATGGCAGAGGCACCTGCCAGCCTAGGTCCCTATACAACCTCTGAGAGTGGAGTTGTCTTCCTGCCATAGATCATCTGACTGGCTCTGGACAGTTACTTACCAAGCCCAAGTCCTTGTTTAGCGCTTCAACTTCCACAACATTCCCACCACGAACATTTAATTCTACAAATGGGCCCAGGATCACAATCAAATTCACTTGTATATTTCATTTATGGCACCGATTCTCTTTCCCTTCATGAAAATCGGAATGACATAGTCCCACATTCAGTCTTTCCTGTTATTTTCAGTTTTTCAAATACCACTGACAGTGATCAGCAATTTCACTGCAGGGTAGTGGTATCAGGCTGCAATGAAACTGAAGTTACTCACAGAGAATTTTTGGAGAGAAAAAAATGACATCTTGTGGATTCTGAGAGAAATTCAGATTTTAATTTTTTAACCAGTTTCCAAGAAGATAATACTACACTTCTGCCAAGTAAATTCAATCACAGTAAATGCAGCTCAATAAATAGAATGAAACTAATTTTTAAATTAAAACATAGGCCACTGATCTGCCTTTATTAGACTATATCAAGGGTGAAAATTTGGGTTCTCTGATATGTGAATTGCAGTTCTAGAAATGGGATCTTAAGATGTGGCAGGTTGGAATCCCCAGAAAACAGACTCTGAGACAGAGATTTGAACACGGTAAGTTTATTAAGGAGTGATCTCAGCATCTACACCTGTGAGGGAGTGAAGGAAGTAGGATTAGGCAGAGAGAAAAGTCAAAATGGGATGTAGTCATAGCAAAAATGTGACCATCTCACAAATAAGAGCTAGGAGGCTGGGAGAGGCCTTCATAATTATCTTAAGGTGATGTAATAAACTGAAATAGACAAATCAATAAAAGATGTGTATCCCTGGAAAGGGAATGTGACCTTTCCTTTGGAAGAAGGAGCTCTTTAAAAGGACAATTCCTGAAGAGGGACTCAACTGAGAGCTGTCAGCACAAGGCACTCCCAGAAGCCGAGGGAATGGATGTGGGGGTCCGGAAGGGGTGTCATCCAGTGATGTGCCACATCACCCATGAAATACAACTTCAGAGAAAAGACAGAGCGGTACTGGCTGTCAGACATTTACACGACAGCTTTTACCTAGAACTGCTAAGCACATTTTCTAAAATTGTTTTTTTTTTTTTCCAACTTCACGGAAATGCACTGTCACTATCATTTCTAGAAATCTGGACACTAAAGCAAAGATATCTTTTATCCCCAGACTTCACATGACAGTGTTTTTTTGCAAAGCAAGACATGTTAACTTGACCTAAAGGATGTGTTCATTTCCACTGACTTGACCACCCTTCAGTCCCCAGCAGACTTCATGACACTCTCACAAGAGGCTATTTTGCCTCTGAAGGATCACTCCATTGGATCAGATGGATTCTGGATACTGCAGAAACTAGGCTTGAGACGCAGGGCATGCTTGTTCCTCACTATTGAAGGCCAGAGTGGAGTGAAAGAATGAGAGAGGGGAGATCCTTCCTTGCACCAGAGCATACACTTTTACCTTTTGTGATGCTCAGTCATGAAGTGCTGTTTTAAAGTCGGGTTTAAAGTTGGGAGTATACAAGAAGAAATTTCTAAAAACTTAGTCCAACAGCCTTAGGAGCTCACTGGAAAATTTTTAAGTCACTCTTCAGACTTCTGTTCATTAAAATTTTTTTTCAGAAGTTGTAGGTAAAGTGTTTATGGTTATAACACTATTTCAGAGATTTTTCGCCTATCCCGCGAAAGGAACTATACTTTTGCTTGGCCCCTTCCAACATCCATCCTCTTCACTTTTGTGTTGAACATATGAAATGTTTCAAGCTTTTCATCATGATCCCTTTTTCAATCTGAGTTTTCTCATCTGGGCATCTCAGAACTGTGGAAAACCCACCTCTGTGTTCTCTGTAGCTGATGCTTTTTAGCTTTCCCACCTTTGTGTTTCTTATTCCCAACTCAGGTGGGGTAGTTCCATCTACTTGGAACATGTTCCTCCAGCCTTTTAAAGATCTCCCAAGCTGTGATGGGGTATTAACAAGCAGCAAAGACAGATTATAAGAAAGCCTTCAGTGTCCAAAGAAATGTATATGCATGTATATCTCCTCACTAACTTGTAAAAAGTTGAACAAATTACTCCAAAACCCTTAACAACAACAGAAAAGTTTTTCTGAGTTGGTTTCCAAACCCTTTGTTCATTAGCTTTTTAGAATCCTGCTGGCCTTTATGTCTCAATGGATTCGTGTAACTCAAAATATTCTAAGAATGTGTGCACCTGTGTGCATGTGCGTGTGAGCACACCGGGTATGCATAACCCAGACATGCACATTTTTTATCTACATTCTTAAGTATATGCCATGTCATTTTCTAACTGCTCTGATGGAAGGCACAGACAAGCATGACTGCCTCAAAAGGAAACCTCCAGTTTTATCACCCAATTTAATTTAGTCTAGTATTCTTGATCTCGTATTTAAAGGCATTATTGAAATGGCATTAAAAAGTAATACATATTTATAAACTCAGAGAAAAAGCCTTCACAACCTCTCTTCATTAAGGGGAGAGGGGCTTTTGCCCCATGGCTCTGCGCAGAGCATCCTTGACTTCCTTGTTCCTCAGGCTGTACACGACAGGGTTCAGCAGGGGAGTGATGAGGGTGTAGGTCACTGAGATGAGTCTGTCCTGCTCCAGGGAAGCCTGGGACTTAGGCTTAAGGTAGATGATGGAGGCACAACCATAGTGGATGATGACCACTGTGAGATGGGATGCACAGGTGGCAAAGGCCTTCTTCCGACCCTCAGCTGAAGCAATCTTAAGGATGGTGGAGATAATGAGGACATAGGAGATAAAGACCAGACCCATGGGTAGGACAAGGACACAGACACTGACAATACAGTTGATGATCTCATTGACAGTGGTGTCTGTGCAGGCCAGCTTCAGCAGGGGTCTCACGTCACAGAAGAAGTGGGAGATGACAAAGTCATCACAAAACGGAAGACCAAACACAGATGTTACTTGGACAATGGCCATGCCCAGGCCAATTCCCAGTGATCCAGATGCCAACTGGACACAAGTCTTCTTACCCATGATGACTGAATACCGTAGGGGGTTGCAGACGGCCACATAGCGATCATATCCCATGGCCGTGAGCAGGAAGCAGTTGTTGATGCCAAAGGTGAGATAGAAGAAGAGCTGAGTGGCACAGTTTTGGGTGGCAATGGGCTGGTGAGAATTCAGGAGGCCAGAAAGCATACGGGGAATGATGGCCACAGTGTAGCAGGTCTCAGAGATGGATAACATGCTCAAGAAGAAGTACATGGGAGTATGGAGGTGACGGTCCAGGTGAATAATGGTCACAATAATCACATTTCCAGAGAAAGTCAGCAGGTACAAAGTTAGAAAGACAACAAAGAAGACAAGTCTTTGGTGCCACTCAAAGCTGGAGAAACCTTCAAAGAGGAACTCAGTCACAAAAGTGGAATTTGGCTTTGGCATTGAGGTAAGTCTAGGTTTGAAAGAGCTGGGCAAAGGAAAGAAGATATGATGAGTCAACCATGAAACAAAGTAGGCTGGACCAAGGCTTTCAGTAAAGAGTGTGTCCATCCTCTGAGCAATGCCCAGACCCCAGGGGTCACCAGTGTTCAGCTCTTGGACAATTTCTCAGAGTCCTCACTTTGGCCCACCCTCTTCTCTGGTATTATAGAAGGTTAGCTTAGGATCCTGGGATTGAGAACAGAGAGAAATGAGAGGGAAAGTAGAAACATATTAAAAGAGATTTGTAGGAACAACTACCTGATTTTAATTTTTAAATTATATACTCCCAAGTGTGATTACTGGATCATATGCCAGTTCTATTTTTAACTTTTTGAGAAACCTCCATACTTTTCCATAGAGGCTACACCATTTTGCATTCCCATCAACAGTGTACAAGAGTTCCAATTTCTCCACATGCTTGCTACTATTTGTTAGCTTTTAATAATAGTTTTTTTGATACTAGCCATTCTAACTGTTGTGAGGTGATGTCTCATTGTGGTTGTGATTTGTGTTTCCCTGATAATTAGTCATGTTGTGCATCTTTTCATCTACCTGAATGAAATCAGAATCTCAAAGACATATTTGCACTCCCATGTTCATTGCAGCACTATTCACAATAGCCAAGTTATGAAAATAGCCCAGATATCCATTGAAAGATGAATGGATAAAGAAGATGTGGTATATATGTAGAATGGAATATAATTTAGTGTTAAAAAAGAAGGCAATCCTGCCATTTGCAGCAACATGGATGAACATGAAGGACCTTATGCTAAGTGAAATAAGCCAGTCACAGAAGGACAAATACTGTATGATTTTCACTTATATGAGATGCCTAAAATGGTGAAATTCATAGAAGCAGAGAATAGAATGGTGGTTACCAGGGACCAGAGAGGGGAAAATGGGGAGTTGTTGTGCAACTGGTATAAAGTTTCAATTGTGCAAGATGAACGAGTTCTAGAGATCTGCTGTATAGCATAATGCCTATAGTCAACATTACTGTATTATGCACTTAAACACTTGTTAATTTTTAATGGGGTAGATCTCATGTTAAGTGTCTTACCACAAAAAGAATCAAAAACCAAAGGGACACATGGAAACTTATAAAGGTGATAGATATGTATATTACCTTAATTGTGGTGGTGGTTTCATTAATTAAGGTGATGATGTATGTATATGGCCAAACTCATCAAACTGTACATATTAAATATATGCAGTGGATTGTATATCAATACTATTTCAATAAAGCTGTTTAAAAAAAGAAAGAAAGAAATACCTGGACATTGAAGAGGTGAGTCTAGTTCAAGGAAGAAGCAGGTGATGCATGGAGTGCGTCCAGCTCTATAGTTCCTCCTCAACACACTCTTGAATTAGTCCCCAAGGATCCATTGAAAACAGTGACTTAGTGAAAGATAAAAGATATGAAACTGATATCCTTTCAGTACTGTCAGCAGCATTCAATACCAAATACCCTGTGAGAGTCCTTAGAATGAGTTCTCCTCCCCAGAACACTAGGTCCTAGTCTTTACTTCTCTAAGCCCGGCACCCCTGTCATCATAGAAAATGGAGCACTTCTACTGTCTCTTCTTCCTGGAGTTCCTGCAACATATATCCTCTAAGATCATGAAAATGGATTTGATAAAGCACTACAGTATTTAGCTTATCTCCTTGAATCTTAGCCAAAGACAGGAAAGATGACAAAATGAATCTGAAGCCGTCTCTTCAAATAGGGAATAGGTTTTCCTAGTGTGAGAGCAAAGATAAAATTCATTTAATCAGAGAAGGACCAAACATCCTATTTTTTTACTTCCATCATGCATATTCCATGCTGTGTTGAAGATAGAAATGAGCTGACCCACCTTCTTTTTGTCTTATGCCAAGTGAACTCTGCATGGGAGATCATATTGGGACAGATTTAACCGTGCCCCTTAAGCCCATGTCTACCCTTGATAATGCCCATCACATTTAACCATTACCTACATTCAGAAAACTAAGAGCCATGCTAATTACCTCCGTTCCTTTTTCTATCCAAAGACAATGCCTCCTGAAACTCTCCTCTCTGTCCCTACTCTCCATGCTTTCTACCAACACCCTCTGACAACTGTCACCATCCTCTATGATCACTGCAGTGGCCTCCTAAATAATCTCCCTCATTTTGAATGACCTTAGTGTAAGGCTTCCTCCTGGATGTTGTCATTATACTCTCTAAAATCCTGCTCATGAGGAGCTCTCCTGCATAAATTCTGTCAGTTCTTCCTCAGAATTTTAAGCATAATATTCAAACTCATTTGTAAATTGAGTATGGTAATATTCCATAGAGTTGCCATGAGAATTAAATGGGTTAATATATTTGACAGTTCAATCTAGCACTTGGCTCATAGGAAATAATAAGTAATAATTTTATTGATAGTTATTCCTTTTTATTTTTCACAAATGAGCCAGTTTAAGTTACTAAGAGGAGAAGGGTAGGGGTGGAGGTGCTTTAGTTTAACATTCCTGGATTTGTAAACAAGGGTGTGATTATCCCAACTTTATATGTTATTATTTCCCTTCCAATTGCTCACATGGACTTCTTTACTCTCTTTAAAAATATTTCTTGGAGGGCCGGGCGCGGTGGCTCACGCCTGTAATCCTAGCTCTCTGGGAGGC